TGTTATATTACTCAATACATAAATAAATTGTAGTTTTACCTGACGAGGGCAACATCCTCCGCATTTAACTCGATTTGATGAATTTCAGGGGGTTGTGTTGTGTTGGTACCTAAATGGCCCATTACAGTATAAAATTCCGTTCACTTCTTTTAGGGGTCCGTTTTTCCTTGACAGGACTATACTTTAAGGTTTCTCCCATAGATTTTATTTAATAACGACAAATCATAGACCTTGAAATATAAATTCCGTAACCAATAGGAAGCTTACTGACTCTACTTAGTCTAGGTTAGGTTAGTTTTAATCTTATTTATTTTAAGATATTTTCTATTAATAAAGAAAAATTCCTGTTTCTGAAAGTTTATTGTGAAAAAAAAAAATGTGAAGCCATTTTACTGAAAAGGCATTCTGTCAGTTTGTGCTAGAAATTATTTTTTTTTTAAATTTAAAATTAATTTTTTACATTTAAATAAGTTCCCATCGGAACCAGTAGACTGAGACCGATGTAATTGGTTGTGCATCAAAGTATTCAATTTATCATTAAAAATAAATAAATTAACAAAATATTGATTTATTGTATTATATCGAATTCATTTTGTATGATATACTGTTTATATTCTATATTTCATGTCGTTAATAAAATTATAATAGGATAATTATTCGTTTAATTGATTATTTCTTCAGATCCTACCGATAAAAAGCTTTTATGTCTCCCATAAAACATGGAGAGAACTTTTTAGTGCTCAAGAATAATCACGACACACTCTCCGATAATTATATGCATTCCAACCAACAAATTCGTACCCTCTACGAACGATTCCAAGGCAGCTTTCTCATACTTATTTATAACATACCATTAAATTTCTGGTTGACACATTCACTGATTTACTGTTCTTGTTCTAAACAAGTGTGAATAATGATATACAGTTAAAAAAAATAAAATTAAAATAAACAGATTGACATCGGATTAAATTGAAGGAAAAACAATAACTTTCAATGATTGTTTATTTAAGATTTTGTTGTAAATAAAAAAAAAATCCCATTTAAAAGCTTGCTTTCGTAGTATTAAAAGAAAAAAAAAATATGAAAGACTCCGAAGCGGGTTTTTGTGCAATTTAAAACACGGGTGAAGTAATCTAATAGCGGAACACATCTGTAGAATTTTTACCTACTCAGGTCAGATGAAATTTCATCACGTCCATATACATATACTCAGATATATTAGATATGAGGTCGGAAAAAAGATGAACACCAACAGAAAATTACTTGAAGCAAAACAGACACTAAACATTTAGGAACCTATTATACAGACATATTGAACAAAATTAAAATTTAATAGAAGTGAAATCACAGACACATAAAATAACACTAACAACAACAATCAAAATAGTCAGATGAAACATTTAGATCCAAAGGTCAAATTTTTACTATGGCAGAAACCCAATTATTGGTCAAAAGGAGAATGTTGCTCTAGATGATTTTAGAACATAAATTAGAAAATTGACGATGGAGCACATTATTATTATTATTAGAATTAAGGTAATTACAAATTTATTGTAACAAACATAATACAAATATGTAATGTAACAAGCACAATATTGTAACTTAAAAATTTTTTAGCCTTGCATCCACAAGAGTATTGGAATTGCAGTTCTGAAGATGGGAATAAAAGGTCCCGAAACGTAAACTAGACTGTTAACATGTAACGTTAAAAATATACTCGTATTGTTAATAATTGGAAGTTATTATTGCCAAGCAACTAAACTGAAAAAAGATGTTTTTATGAAAGAGGTTTATATTTCTCATTTCAAAAAAAAAAGAAAAAGTGGTTAACACAATATGAATGCAATGACATACTATAAAAAAAGTCATGTGACAAGTTGATAATTAAAAAAAAGTATTCGTTTACCAATTGAATCGTTGTAATTGCCCTTAGATGTCTTCTCTACCGAGGCGTTTTATTGTGAAACACAACATTGGCCTAATTCGGCAAACCTTAACTGGTTCGTTTGGTATTAATCGACTGATAAGTTTTTTCTCTGTTCTCTTTTCTCCCGCTCTCTCTCTCTCTCTCTCTCTCTCTCTCTCTCTCTCTCTCTCTCTCTATATATATATATATATATATATATATATATATATATATATATATATATATATATATATATTTACAACTTTTCCTTAATCGACCTTTGAGTATTAAATTTAAACTTAACTATTTAATTGGGAATAATGTCACTTAATTATTAGTTAATAAACTATTGAATGTTCATTTCTTTTGTTTATTTTCAGAGTCACATAGATCTACCTAACTATCTGGTATGCCTTGAACTTCTGTATCAGGTGTCATTAATTGACAATCCTTGTAGAATAAAGTTTCTAAGCTAAAAAAAAATATATATATATTTGAACTTAACTATTTAATTGGGAATAAGGTCACTTAATTTTTATTTAATAAACTATTGAATGTTCATTTCTTCTCTTTATTGACGTTTCGATCCCGGTATTTTCTTTTTATTAGCCAACCATGGAATCCTCTTCAAAGATAGAATTTTAAAAAATAGAGCTTCGATCAGGCCAGGGACACACTGACAGTCTCAGCACCGTCCACTAGCACGTATATTAAGCTACATATATTTTTTTTAAATTCTAGCTTTGAAGAGGATCCCATGGTTGACTAATAAAAAGAAAATACCGGGATCGAAACGTCAATAAAGAGAAGAAATGAACATTCAATAGTTTATTAAATAAAAATTAAGTGACCTTATTCCCAATTAAATAGTTAAGTTCAAATATATATTATATATATATATATATATATATATATATATATATATATATATATATATATATATTTTTTTTTTTTTTTTTTTAGCTTAGAAACTTTATTCTACAAGGATTGTCAATTAATGACACCTGATACAGAAGTTCAAGGCATACCAGATAGTTAGGTAGATCTATGTGACTCTGAAAATAAAGCTACTAGTATTAAATCTACTAGTCGAAAACATTTTTAGTGAAAGTTTTGCCAATCACAAACTAAGAAACATGAGCATATATTGAAAAATGTTTAATTAGACATTGTATATACAATAAAAATTACAAAATTAGGGAAAATGACCATTTTACCAATGACCATTTCTAATACATTTATTTTTGCGCAACTGCATGAAATCTGTCAAACTAAACAAAAAATAAAAAAAAAATCTACCTCTATTATTTAAAACTGTTTGTAAATTTCATTTAAAAACGCTGTTTATGTAGGGTATTGTTTTTATGGCTACCTGTTTATAGTGGAATTCATTAAAATAAACATGCAGATACACCGGCGAAACTATCGATAAATGATAAGTGATTTCGATAAGTGATCGCATCGATTTAATATCTTGAATCAACGATAAGAAATTTGGCAGAATGAATGATTTGACATGCGAGAAAATAAACTAAGAAAGATTGAACAATATGTAGAACGTCCTAGAAAAAAACTGTTGCGAAGAGAAGAGGTAGTTATTACCCGCCTAAAGATTGACCATACTCTACTAACCCATGGATATCTGATGAAGAAGAAAGAACCGCCAACATGTTTCTTCTGTGCATTCTAACAGTGCTTCACATACTAACGGAGTGTATTGTGAATAAGACTCACCACAAATATATGACTTACCGGACCCAGACACATCACGAAACAATAAAATTTAAAATAACTGTAAGAGACTTCAATGCCTATGACACCAGTGGTTAAACATTCAAATGAATAAATAAAAAGGCTGCAAATTATTACTCGATGGTTTATTATTTCCAAAGTGTTTGTGTTTGAGTGTGTTTGATTGTTTTGATTAGGATTTGAAACTGCAATCCATTGAAACATTTCAGCTTTACGTACAGAGGAAAGAATGTTTACACAGCCATTCGAGACTTTTTATGCATAATAAAAAAAAAAAATGTCTACCTCATTCTTACTCACTCTTTTAAGATATGGAAAAAATTATGATGGTTTGACAGCCAAAACATAAGGTAATTAAAAAAAAATATTGGAGCGGATAAGTAGCCATTACGGTCTCAGAAATCCCTATTAATATTCTTTTGATATGTAGCCAATATATAGATATAAGAAATATCCGATTGACCACCATTACGAAATGATGGATCAAGTTCCCAGGATGATCCTGGAGTAACAAAACCATCGGTCCTGTTGCCTCGATTTTTTTTTTTTTTTTTTATTGCCTAATGTTTATTAATGTACCAATCATAAAAATACTTCTTATTTTTAAATTTGATCATATGATTTCACGTACTAACTTAAAAACTAAACATTAGAGTGAGGAAGAAAAAGTTTTATTTTGATAGGTCATTATTGATGTTAATTAATCAATCCATGCCAAATGAATCGTATTGGCACTTACTTCATCTCTCTCTGGTTATGTAATTTTTGCAGAAATATTTGAGATCATACCGCTAGAATTAAGCGATTCGTAGTATTTCCATACTTACTTGCAAAATTTAATAAATTATTCCAAGACATTAAGACAAGTGAACATGAGAGTTTAAAATAATATTTTTTTAGTTCTAAAAAACTGAATTTGAATCATTTACCCAGAAGAAGGCAGACTTTAAGATTTTAAGGGTATTATAGTTAGAACCTTCTCAAATCAATTACTTACAAAATTATCAGTAGTTAGAACTAAGTCATACTGCTAGTTTCTTTATTATTCAACTAATGGCACTCAAATTTATTGGGAACTTAGATAATTTTGTTGTGAGTGATTTCTTAGTGAAAATTCTTTTTTTTTTGTTAGAACCTTTTCCAAGCAAGGCCACGAATTGTCAAAATTATTTTTTTAAATCTTAATGTTATCCAGTTATTATTTTTATCAGGATCCATCTTTAAAAAAAAATCAAAGTAAATACATTTTTAATTTATAACAATTATTAAATATGAATCATTTCTAGCAATTATTTACGCTAATCACTAGATCTACTTCGAATGAATGTATACAATTTCTTTGGTCCCGATGTTTTTTTCTCTCTTTAACGGCTATTTCACATTGCGATCTGTTTGCGAACTGGATCTGGATGCCGTTTGGTCGCCCTTGACACAAATCAGCTGGGCTATCTCGAACACTTTTATGGCTCGGCAGTGTGGTACAACTTGTGGAGTACCGCAGCCTTATTGAGGTGACAGGGGTACCATCTGAAGGATAGAGCTGTCAATGCGGAAAATAACTGTGGACGGAAGTCCGTGTCTTCGAGTGGGTACGGCTGTGAATTCAAATCGGCCGGCCTCGAGGTGCTGCCAGGTGAGGTCAGTCCGACTGAGGAACCTTTCGCATGGGACTGTCTCTTCATCACTCTTATACTATTATGGATAAAAAATAAATTAAATAATATGAGCGAGTTTCTGAAATAAAAAAATCAGTTTCTGAAACGGTTAAAAAATAATATTTAAGACTACATTCATACTGCTACTGACCTAAAGCAGAAAATCTTCTGACATAGTTATTATACTGATTAATGTTAACATAGGAGCCAAATACAAGCAATAGAGATGAGTTACCTGAGGAGTATAGAAGGAAACACAAGTACAGAGAGGGTAAAAAATAGGACTATTAGAAGTTAGTGGGAAATAAACGGGTCGTATATTTCATGGAAGATAATGAGCTAAAGTTTGGTCACGTTAAAAAAATGTAGAGAAAAAGAGTTTCCAAAATTAGGCACGATACAAGAGTTCAGGGAAGAAGGCCAAGGGGAAGGCCCAGAAAGACTTGGAAAGGAGCTGTCCAGGAGGCTTTCAGCAGGAATGGACTAGAGCAGGCGCGATCAGCTGGTACCAGATCGGGACTATTGGACCAGACTCTACCCGCAGGAACCCATCAAACTGTTTCGCAGTAGAACTGGGAAAACTTAAGAAGATTTGTTTTCGGATGAAAAAATTTTCAGGACCTTTAGTTATTATTATTATTATTAGGTTAGCCTTTATTATTAGATTAGCAGCCGTTTCGACCCAAACATGTGGATCATCCTCAGGGTTGCGGCTAAGAAGGAAAACAGAGTTTTGAGGAGAAACTGGGGTATGTTGAGAATTATCATCAAAGTGTGGCAAATTCTGTAGTGAAGGCAGAGATGGATCAAGCTGAGTTTTGTAACGAGTGATGCCTTGAAGAGAGCTCATATTTATGTTGTTTTAGTAGATCCCAATACTTAAAACTTAAAAGATGGATAAATAGTCGATTGATAAATTATACTGATGAAACAAAAATCAAGATATTTTTATAACGTTATAATAAAGGATACTCTAATAATGAAAATGTCTTGATTGAAAGTCCCATATTTACCCATCTCTAAACATTTAAATATTGGGAGCTACTCAAATCAACATAAATATGAACTGTCTTCAAGAGCTCGCTTGTTTCACAACTCAGCTGGACCCATCTCTGCTTTCACTACAGACTTTGCCGATACTACACCAGTTTCTCCTCAAAATCTGTTTTTCCTTCTTCGCCCTGAGGATGACCCACATGTTTCGGTCGAAACTTCGACGACGTTGGAACGTTGGTCGAAACTTCGGCTAACCTAATACTAAAAATGTCTTGACTGAAAGTCCTGAAAATTTTGTTTCGTCCATATAATTTATCATTCGACTATTTAACCATCTCTATTTTTATTTCGTTTTGTCGAGAATTTAGTGCCTTTTAAATAATCACAGGTGTAACCGACCATAAATTCCATTGTTTTTGAGTTATGAGCTTATAAAGTTTACTTTACTTCTTAACTTTTCCTCCTGATTACTTTTCTCGCATGAAAGAGAAGATAATATTTAAAAAATGGCTCATTCATTTGATTTGATGACGGATTAACGAAGATATGATTTACCGTAAAAAAAAACTTTTGAGAAATAGTATATAATAGGTATTTTAATTTTTCTGAGCTTAGGAATCAATGGCAAACTAGGCATCTAGATTCAATATCGCCAAGTTTGGGCCCTTAAATAACTTAATAAATAAATAAACTAATTAATCTTGAAAACTGTACATTTTATGGCTTTAAAACTCAGAGGTAAGGATACCCGCATCAATATATTTAAAAAACAATATATTGCGCGGTCTCGAACAGTTGACTTATGAATCTAAATTTTTACAATGATTTTAATTGTTAATTAATTGTAGTAAGGTTTTAAGTTTCGAGATTGTGATTCGTCACTTATCAGTGAAATTCCCTTGGTTCATCACATGCATTATTTTTCATGAAGTCTTTCATATGCCAACAGATACAACTTATGGCCACAATTCTCAAAAGAAGATGGATGAGGGATCTCCTCACTTATAAAGAAATACTAAATCAAAATGGACACTCCTCTCCTTCGTGCATACCAATAGATGTCTTACTGCTATTATTCTACTCACAAAAAATTAATTCATACTATTTTTTTGGTAAAAAGAACAATATAAACTTATGGTCCTTACCGACCAAGCGATATCCTGTCCTTTAGATATTTTAAATATTATTCCAGAATTTCTTTCCAATTTTTCCAAACCGAACCTCCCGCAATTCTGTGACTAACACTGCCAACGCTCGAGATATTTATAGATGAATTCTCAACAGAGTACATTGGCAATACAGATCACTCTTAACGAGGCAAACCTGAGGTGAAGGACTTCACAAGCGGATTGTTTCCCTTCCAGTTTCCCAAGCTCCCAAGATTTCATTCACACATTTGGCTAAGGTTATCTGATCTGCAGATGTTTTTATTTTAGAAATAGATACTAATTACCAATTAGCAATCTGTAATTTCTCAACTGTTATTTTCAATTAATCGGAGGGTTCAAAATAATTTCAGAAATAGAATGTCCCATTTGTTCCCATGAAAGTGTTAAACTTCTATAGAATTTGCAATATTATAAGAATATTTTAAATAAAATATGAAAAAAAAAAACAGTTTTACTGTTGATAAAACAAGTTTAGCTCCATGCGGGAGTTCGAAAAAGTTTAATCCGGATTTGCTGATAAAATATGGGGAAAAATAAATGTATTTATTTAATTATAATAAAGTCAAGAAAAAACAATCTAAGTTCTGTTCTCTTATTTGTCCATACTATTTTAATTATTAACTGAACTTTCACTTGATTTGGGTATAAAACTATTATTAGATAATTAACGATCGGACCTTATGCAAGATAAACAGAGAAGTACCGAAAAATTAATATTTGTTACTCAAATTATAAACTAAGGATGTATTCATTTTTATCGATACAGTTTGCCCTTTTAAACGTTTAGTATTTTTTAAACCTTGGACTCCACTTGGACAATCGCTTAACTTGGAATCCCCATACCAGACTTAAACGACAAGAAACCGCTCGACGTGTCCGATTACTCCAGCGCTTACTTGACAAACGCTCTAAAATTTCAGTTAATTACAAAAGACTCGTATATATAACTTAAATAAGACCTATTTGGACTTAGGGGGTTCAGATTTGGAGTTCCACAAAGCCATTGAATTAATCACGTATCCAATCCTTACAATCCAAAATCCTTCGTAAAATTCTCAATGCTCCTTACTTTGTCACAAATAAAATCATCCATATATTTCCTATTTGGCTCAATCCAGATACCTATCCTTCCATTATAAACTTCAGACCCATCCGAACCCTCTCGTTTTTAATCTTGCTTCTTCCTCGATCCCCGATAAGCCTCCGAGGTGTCTGAAATGAAGATGGCCTCGAGATCTCCTATTGTAAATACATTTTTTTTTTTTTTTAGAATGTTACCAGTGGGCAGTTTTTCAACAAGTGTTTTCATATTAGAATTTTCTGTTATCACATTTACTGAATGTATTATACAGTTGTAAATATCATAAATAAATAATTTAAAAATATATATTTTTAAACATATTAAATTTTTGTCTTCTCAAGGTGAAATTAATATTACTTATGTATTAATATTAATTATGATATTAATATTAATTATGATATTAATTATACTGCTTTTTATGTCCATCTAAAGATTGTAGAATAGAGTACACAATACCTGTATAATTTTCTACAAATTTTAAATGTTTTTACAAAAAACTGTCTCAGAATAATTTTTTCAAAACTATTATAATTAACCTAAAAATTATTCAAATAAATTAAAGAATGATAAAATCAAAGATAAACGTTTTAATAAGAATATAAAAATAGACATTTTAATGAAAAGTTTGCTATACTGTTTTTTTTTTGTTTTCTTTTTTCTTCCAGAATTTGATTTTTTATATTTTCAAATTTAAATTCATTGTTTAAATAACAAAGCGAATTTGAATTAATTATCGCTCATAATTAAACGCAAAAATTAAAAAAAAGTATTATACATTAATAAACGATAGACCATCCCAGCAGGTAATACGTGAGAAGGCCAATATAATTAATTATTAATAAATACATCACCTGCAAGTTATTTTTTTTTGTATCGGTTACTTTTAATCATAACAACTGTATAATAGTTTAATCATATGCGAAACCAGATTAAGAAACATGGAAGAAATCCAATCCGTTTATTTATGGAAGGTTTGTTTTCTTGTTTCAATCATATCAGTAAATAACAACATTATACCTATGACATTATGCGACACATACATTAATTATTGCATTATTTTATAAGGATGAAAATATTATTTTAAAGGTTATATTATCATAAAATGTACATGGTATTCATTGGAACACTACTTTTCATGTCTATTTGTGGTCAGTATCCTGTACCAGGATAGATATATTACTTTCTGCATTTTTTTTTTCTTTTAAGATTACGAATATATTTATTATTTCTGCGACTGATATGGTCAATTCTTTTCCTTCTTATGATATTTTTTTAATTAATACCTATTTATTTATAATTGACTAGTAGTAATTTTCAATATTTGTTTACTCATATTCAATCTTCATATTTAACCATTTTTTATATTTACTGTCAATAAAGAGAGTTAATTTTTTTAAATAAAACATATTAAAGGTACTTTAGAGGAAGTACATGAACATTGGGCATTTGAGCCGTGTAAAGTAATATTTAATTATACTATGCTACATGGAATTTAATCAAAATCGTTGGAGCCGTTTTTGAGGAAATTGTAAAAATTTGTTTCACTGTTGATATAAAGTGGCACTTCCGGCTAGCCGATTTTTGCGAAAAAGTTGCCGTAACATACAATGTATATAAATACGAAATTTCATTTTCGTACGACGTTTCGTTTTTGAGCAAGACTATTCACATACATACACACACACAGACCATTTTGCGGGACTTGGTTATTTGGACTCAAGAGACCTCAAATAATAATAAATAATAATAATAATAATAATAAGGCTTAGCGAACCCGAAGGTTCGATGCCGACACCACCAATCGCTTGTTACACACCTCCCTCCACCGTTCGCCGTCCAAACCCAGTCCCTTCAGATCGGCTTTAATGCAATCTTCCCACCTTCGCTTCGGTCTTCCCCTCGGACGCTTACCATTCGGCACAGCAAATATTAACCTTTTAGGAATTCTCTCGTTACTAAGGCCAACAACTTTACAAGCCCATTTGATTCGCCGCGATGAAATTACCTCAATTATATTACCCGGATACATCTCACGCAATTCGGCGTTGTGTAACCGTCTGAACTCTCCGGTTAACTCATCCTTCTTCGGTCCGAATATTCTACGCAATACTTTATTTTCAAAAACCTTAAGACGCTGCTCATCCCTTAATGTAAGCGGCCAAGTTTCGCATCCATAAAGAACTGTAGGCAAGATAATTGTTTTATAGATTCTAATTTTTAAGTTTCGGGACAAGAGGCGCGAACTAAGTAGTTTTGTCACAGAAAAATAACAAGCATTCCCCGCCTTCAGTCTAAGCTTAATCTCTTCTTCAATTTCGTTTTTTCTAGTTATCGTAGAACCTAGATACCTAAATGTATCTACCTGTTCAAACATATTACCATCTATATCGATATCACCAGTAGTATCGCCATTTTTGCAGCTAACCATATATTTTGTTTTATCCACGTTTATTTCGAGTCCTAATTCTTTACCGGCTTTCATTAACGTTGTCGTATTTAGTTTTATAGTTTCAACGTCTTCGCTTAACAGTACCAGATCATCAGCATAGCCCAGCACGGATGTTGTCCCGCCCAGATCCAACCCTTTCTCGGTTCGCATTACTTCCCTAATGGCATGTTCTAATGCCAAATTGAACAGGACAGGCGAAAGAGAATCCCCCTGTTTTAAGCCCGAACGAACCTCAAATTTTTCGGACAAATTATTACCGATTCTAACTTTATTGAGTGTCTCCGTCAAGCACATCCTGACTAGATTTAGAGACCTCAAAACATTTCAAAAATATTTCCGTTGAAAACTCAGAGTTTCACGACCGCAATACTATATCTTACTATATATTTTATATATAGGTAAGTGAAAGTAATAATAAATTCACTGATCTAAGTGATTTCAAGATTGCACGGTGCAGGATATCAGGAATTGAAAAAAGAAGGAATGGTCTTTAAGAATTACAATAAAATTGATATGCAAATATAAATACTTTGACATCCCTAATACTGTCACAACAGATTATCGACAAATAAATTCTCTAAAGCTCTATATACTTGTATATGTTTACGACAAAAATCAAAACATATAAAAACCTCGTGACATTGAAAAATTAAACGGGAGCATGTAAGAAAGAACACGCATAATTAGTAGTTGTTAGTTTCCCCCTATGAATCAATAGCAAAATTATGGAAATATATTCTTATTAATAATTAATTATCAGGAAAACACCTTCATCTATAAACCAACTGTGTTGGATTGTGGAGCCTACCGGTAATCATTTGCCATTAATTTCTAATAGTAAAATCGAATTTATAAAAACATAAGCAGTTCATGATTAATTACAAATTGCTGATATTATAAATATTTAATTGCAATAATATTATTAATAAATATTGTTATAAACTATTTGGTCCATGCCAAAAATTCGGAGACAATTATGTTTAGTGAAGGAATAGCAAAACAATATGGAAATAAGTAGATCCGATGTATTATCTGAGGGAGGAATTAATTGTTTTTCCTTGATCGTTTAAAATATTACATTTAACATAGTAGACCAAAATATTTGTCTAGAGCCTATTTTTAAACGCTGGAAAGATATTAAAGCAAAAAAAGCCACTATTGGGATTATCTAAGTTATTAAAAAATATAAAATGTAAGAAAAAACAAATGCCTATAAGAAATAATAAAGTTAATATATCAGGCAAAAAAAAACAACAACAAAAAACTGTAGAATAATAAATGTAGTATCTTTAAAGATGAAGAAATTATTAGGTATACCGAAATTAATGGACTGTATCTTTGTAAATAATTGTCCGATTTTTACGACTTTTTTTTATTGTTGTTTAGTAATTTAGTAATATTTTTAATAATCATAGGTACTATCCAGAAAAAAAAAATTACAAAAAATATTTTATTTTTCGAAATAGAAATCTCAACTCTGTTTATCCTTTGAAAAATATTTGAAAACACTTTGTTCCTTCAGTTGGTATAAATTGTTTAAATTTTACAAATTTATAATCGATTTTTACGATTTTTCTTGTAGGTATTTTTTCTGATAATCATGGGTACTATCCAGAAAAAAAATTCACACTTGCTAAGTTATTCGCAAATAAATTTCTTTTCCTTCATAACTTTTTCCCCAGAAATTTC